TCCGAACGAGACAGCGACCTTAAGCGTCAAGCCCAGTCGTAATACACTAACTCATTGTAGCAGGATTTTCAAAACATCATACACGACATGTTGTCCAATCTCTCCATCACAGAAACAAAGAGAAATACCTGGATAACGTGACTGAATTCTTCGTAAGCTCGTTTCTTCAGATGCGCCGCCATCTTGCCTTCCCAGAGTGCACCGTGCGGGGCAACATGATATCCCATAGTGCATCCCGCGGGACAAGATGGCGGCCGGCGGCAAGTTCGGATTTCAGCTTCTTTCTCGAAAGTTCGGCTTTATGGAGGACCGTGAGATCAAAGATCTGTTCATGAAATGGTACGTACATTTGGGCACATAAAAGGAAACCCAGGAAAGCTTACAGATCTTTTGTATCTGTATGTCGATAGTAGCTTGCTGCTTGCCCCCCTCCCCATAAAGAGATCTGTTTATTTTGGTCTCTATTTTGAATTTGTCTACCGTCGATCTCACTACGTAACTTACACTCAACACATTTTCTGGGCTTTAGTTTCTTGTTGATAGCTCACCTTGTTATTCATCATGGATATGAAGCAATTAACATCAGGAATGAGCCTTGTTCATTGCATTTTCATTGACTCGCTTTAGCGATAGCAACGGCATTCAGTTACCATAGTAACGTCATGCTCCTAGGATCCTGGACTCCCAGATTTACTATTACCACTATCTGTTCTTGACAGATTATTTATTTCCATTCCAGATTTTTAAAAAGCCGCATCTCAGTACCCTGTACGGCAACAATACACAATCTCAGTCATAATAATCACTCATACAGCCAATGTTCTTGCAAATATTCCTAGCCACCTCTCTGCTGAGTGGCATCGTTGGCTGAGTCTTCTTGTGCATCTATTATCTAATTACTAGTACCTCAACTCTAGTTACATGTAACTAGTATCTGTTTTTTTTCCCTAGGGGCCTACAGGGGTACCTGTCTGTCCAGACCTACACGTTTGAGAAACAGTTCCAGGCCTATCAGAAGGATGACTTTGTCTTGGTGAGTGACTGGAATATTAAGTTCAATGTAACTTTTACGAAAAGTAGAGAACTTTTTAATAGAGGGCTCTCATTCTTCATATTACATTTTAATTTTATGACACCAGAAATTGTCACTCTTAACCCTTGTCCTGCTGAGCGCAACATTTTGACGTTCTGCACATACAGTACCATCTATATAGCACCCTGTATAGGTACGATTTGGGGGTATTTCTCGTGCAACGCATCACACCGCAGCGAAGCGCAACGAATGCGGAAGTAACTATGCCACTGTAGGGCAAAAAATATTTGGGGTCTATGATCATTAATACATGAAATTATTGATAAATATTGTGCAAGGAATGTCAGCAGGACAAGGGTAATATATAAATTATATTATAATTGTCAGCTCACAGCTCAGTGTCTTGAGTTTTATCCCCTGTTGCCAAAAAATTTCTTAATAATTCTTATAATATACAGTAACTGTTTATATGTATGTACATAATGTATATTGACTCATTCTTTAATGCAGGATTTCCTGAGAGATCCTAAAGTCACCAGCACTCTACTGATGCCCTCCAAAAGGGGAGGATTTTCACCTGTGGGTAGGTCACTGTCTTTTGTTTTCAAATAAATTCTTCTGAAACAATAGATCTACACGTTATAATGTTGCCATAGAGTCATTGTTATGTTTTGCCATCAGAATCTGATGTATAAGGCATCATAAATGATGTACATGTAAATATACTAGTATATAGATCTATGCAAAAAGTGTTCATAATGACAGCCACATTTACATGTACAGGGCTCGAAATATCCAGGTATAATATGCAAAATGAACATGATTTTCAGGATTTTCACATAGATATATCTTAAATGTGCAATTTTACACCTAGAAAATACGAACATGTATATATAAATTTGTAACAAAGTGGAGACCACAAAAGGCAGGGCCCAGCAGCTGATGGAAAGGAGCCATCAGAAATTAAAGTTTTCTAGATCTGTTTGCTGGATGCCAACTGAAGGAAAATTTTCACAGATAGGCTGAGAAATTCACAGTATTGAATGATTTGAATAAAAATTAAAAAATTCACACAAAAAATATTTGATGTATAAAATCTTAAAGATTCTTGTTCTGTTCTGTTCTTGTGCAGGGAGTGTGGCAGCAAGTGTAACAGCCAAGGCTGTTCCATGCTCCATCCTGTCCATGGATTTCTTTGACCGCCTCCATGCGGACGGACTGGTCCATGAAGACGGGAGGATCTGTGGCTGTTTTGATGAATTCGTCGAAGGGTTCACAGTCTCTGATGAGATTAGAAAGGTGGAAAAAACAATAATTATTGTCAGTTCTGAAGTTAGAAAATCAAACTTAAACATTTCAGAGTGAAGACTCTGATCTGTGATAGAGTCGACAATCCCTACAGATATCCTGATCACAGTCAACAGAAACTTTACTATAGGTTACGTACAGGTAGATTTCAGAAATACCTGCACAGTTCCAATTTTACCTGCACTAACCTGTATATACCCAGTACATGTACCAGTGCAGGTTAGGTGCAGGTAGACTTCAGAAATACCTGCACAGCTCCAATTTTACCTGCATATACTCAGTACATGGACCAGTGCTGGTAGACATCAGAAATACCCGCACAGCTCCAATTTTACTTGCACTAACCTGTATATACCCAGTACATGGACCAGTGCTGGTAGACATCAGAAATACCCGCACAGCTCCAATTTTACCTGCACTAACCTGTATATACCCAGTACATGGACCAGTGCAGGTTAGGTACAGGTAGACATCAGAAATACCTGCACAGCTCCAATTTTACCTGTACTAACCTGCATACCCCTAGTACATGGACCAGTGCAGGTTAGGTGCAAGACATCAGAAATACCTGCACAGCTCCAATTTTACCTGCACTAACCTGTATACATGTATACCCAGTACATGGACCAGTGCAGGTTAGGTACAGGTAGACATCAGAAATATCTGCACAGCTCCAATTTTACCTGCACTAACCTGCATAAACCCAGTACATGGACCAGTGCAGGTTAGGTGCAGGTAGACATCAGAAATACCTGCACAGCCACAATTTTACCTGCACTATAACCTGCATATACCCAGTACATGGACCAGTGCAGGTTAGGTGCAGGTAGACATCAGAAATACCTGCACAGCTCCAATTTTACCTGCACTAACCTGCATGTACTCAATACATGGACAAGTACAGGTTAGGTGCAGGTAGACATCAGAAATACCTGCACAGCTCCAATTTTACCTGCACTAACCTGCATATACCCAGTACATGGACCAGTGCAGGTTAGGTGCAGGTAGACTTCAGAAATACCTGCACAGCTCCAATTTTTATGTACCCCATATTTTGTGCCCTGAAAGTGCACATTCTTCAAGAAGTTGATAATTATGAAGATGAAACATGCTTGTGTCAGCTAAATGCCTAATTTTCCTGCTATTATTTTCTAAATTCTTATTTTCATACGTCCCTTAGATGCTGTTGATGGAAGACTCTGATCATTATGACTTGTACAGTGAGGAAGAAAAGGAGCAGTTTCTGTTCCTGCTGTTCTGCCATGTTGTGCTAGGGGGCGGTTGTTGTCAGTACGAGGACAATGTGGATCCCTATTTGAGCACTGTGAAGACCATCTACAAGCAGCTGCTTAGGTCAGTCACCTTTGAACTTTGAACCTCTAAATAAAGTTTGGTAAAGCTAAATGTAGGTCAGCAACTTTGTTTATAATTGTTTATTTGCATGTAAAAGAAACAAGTTGTGGAGCAAATACTAGTATGCAAGGGAAACCCTAAGGAACAAGATTTAATGCGGGTTTCCCCTTCATCCAAAATACAAAATTTATATATACAATGCGTATACATACAGTTAAGATGACTTGACTTTATTGGGATCCACACCTATATAGCTTACAGTGTGCTTAAGATGAAATAAACTTTAAGAAAAAAGCAAATCATGAGAAAAAGGCAAACTAACGGACTAACTTAACAATACAATCCCATTTTATTTTATAGTGTGCAAAAGGATCCTACAACTAAGGCATTACATGTGATCTCAAATGTGTTCAGAGTTACAGGATTGGTAGGTAAAATCTTCTTTTCTTCTGTAGTCGTCCCTCAGTAACTAAAAAGACATCTGGAGCCACATATAGTTCCTGTTTAGAACTTTTTACAACAGTAAACACTTGTCTTGAATGTTTAATTTTAGTCAATGGGCACCGCCATGTTGGTTATGTCACAGGTCTGAGCCAATCTTAGAATTGACTCAACTTGTTCATAATAATCCTATCATAATGACTGTAATATGATATAAGTCTTAGGGTTTTTATGAGAAACAATAATTGTTGCTATAAGCATATCACATTGTTGGTCTTTGCCTTTGAATTAAATTAGTGCCTTGTCATCATCTTTCACTCTGTCCAAAATCATGCACAGTCTTCAAACTAACAAAAAATGCCTCCTAGCAGGACAGAACTGTGTTTGAAAGTTGTACCCAATTAAAAGGCCACACCAATTTAATTTCTTGGTTAACAGATATTTCTAGAAAAATTTGGAGCGGATGGGCGAATAAAAAAAATAAAAAATAAAAACAGGCCTAGGCACCCTATTATGGGCCAAAATGGTACTATAGGAGCCATGAAGTCAACACACCAGGCTGGTTCAAACTTTAAACAATGAATTTTGAACTTTTAATGATACCATTGCATTGAAAGATGGAATAACAGTAACAACTACAACGTAGGAAGAAAAGGACTGTTTTCAACTGTTCAGGGCAAAATATGAGCATTTTGCAGTTGATTTTGACTTTTTTTTTTTTTTGCAAATCAGAAAAAAATTAAGCGGGCGAATCCGTTAATCAGGAAATTAAATTGGTGTGGCCAAAGTTACGCCCCCAGCACTGAGGGGCATGCGGAGCTGAGTGAGTGAGTGAGTGAGTGAGTGAGTGAGTGAGTGAGTGAGTGAGTGAGTGAGTGAGTGAGTGAGTGAGTGAGTGAGTGAGTGAGTGAGTGAGTGAGTGAGTGAGTGAGTGAGTGAGTGGCCAAATCATAACATGACACAATGTTATGCTTTCTTATACTTAAATACAGGATGACAAAGGGAGCACATACTACCCCAGTGATGACCCAGACCATCCCCAGAACTTCTCCTATCTCCTGGTGGATCCTCTGAAGAGACATGTCACAGTTTTCTGCCATGTGTATGGAGGGTCTCCTTTCTGAGGGCTGTACAATGATTGTTTGAGAGTACATTGTACTTGTAAACTACCGGGTATGGTGAATATACAAAATGTATTGCTAGTATCTACACAGTGGAGACGATATAGAAAATGTGTTTTATTATAAATGTTGTAATGATTGCAAATGAGAAATGTTTTGTGTTTTGTATTGATATAATTTATGTATATAAATTCCATCTGTGTTTGTGTGTGTGTGTATGTGTGTGTAGAGGGCGTCTGTGTGTGTGTGTGCACGTGTGTGTGTGTGTGTGTGTGTGTGTGTGTGTGTGTGTGTGTGTGTGTGTGTACGCGTGTGTTTGTGTGTATGTGTGTTTGTATGTGTGTGTGTGTATGTGTGTGTGTAGAGGGCGTCTGTGTGTGTGTGTGCACGTGTGTGTGTGTGTGTGTGTGTACGCGTGTGTGTGTTTGTGTGTGTGTGTGTGTACGCGTGTGTTTGTGTGTATGTGTGTTTGTATGTGTGTGTGTGTGTGCACGTGTGTGTAGAGGGCGTCTGTATGTGTGTGTATCAGTGTCAACAAGACAACTCGAAAATGGCAGCATGGATTGGTTCAATACATATTTGGTGTGTTGGTAGTGTGTGACCTCTGTGAAGTACCATGTATTTATGATTTTCTGTGTGGACTACAAGATCTTTGATAATTTCCTTTTTTTAAGTTAATAATTTTTTTTTTCATTTTGGTCCAGGTTGATGTTTATCATAGATGGAGTGAGTCTGTTTACATTCTATATGGTAACTGTTATAATTATATAGTTTGAAATAAATTTGAAATTTAAATGTTTCCAGCATATTCTGTAGGTTGATGCATTTTTTCTACCTTTTGCTGACATTCTGAGACACAACTGGGTGAATAGTACATTACTCTAGATTCTGGGATTAGGGCCTTGACTGCCAAATCATGAATGCAATGCACTTACTACATGTACAAGGCTAAGTGGTTCAAACCTATTACATACTGTGACACATCCTCCCCCTTTTCTTTTTTAGATTTGTCCTCGAATTCCCAATTGGGATATTCCTGTGTGGCACATTTCACTGTTACTAACAGGGCAGATGTGAGAACCTCTCAAACACAGACTACAGTCTCCTGGCTGCCGGGATTTGAACTAGCACCGAACCCAGGACACCAGCTCACGAAGCCAACACACTAACTCCGGACCTGCTAAACTGGTCCGTTACTGACACCTAAAGACTTTTACACTACTCGAATTAACCCACTTTTCTTTTTTTTAGACTTCTCCCTTGATGTATGTTTCATGTGAACATGCTATATGTGAATATATCCACAGAATGAACACATTTCAAGATAATAATGCTTTTCCCACAACCATTTTATTTCCCCAAAAAGTACAAAATGTTTAAGTTTAAAATAAGTTTCCTTATTATCGCCAGGCTCATTTCTAATTAAAGCAGATACTTGTTAAGCCCTGTCACACATAGCTGAATTTGGACTCGAACACTGGGAAACTTTCGTAAGGAGTAAGGAGTAGGTCAGGAGCAAGGTTGGTTGGTACATGGTGTTCAGCCAGGTTGGCTACGTGTGAACGTTCGGCTGCACCAGCTTCATGTTTCAAAATGTTTAAAAGATTTGGGTGTTGAGGCTTGGCAAGGGTTGGCTGGTATTCTGGAGTAGGTCATCTGTGATTAAAAGTGTTTAGATTTGTGACATATAGAAACCTAGGCATGGCCTAAATTTAGTCAGACTGCTCCAAACTTCAGCAAAGCTTTTCTTGGTTGGTGTTCAGGGAACGGTTCTGAATGTATGACACAGGCTTAACAGGGTTGGTTATGTAAGAGTGTTGGCAGCTGCCTGCCTGTTACTTGCTAACAGACTTGCTTGTTTTGTTTTGTATTTTTTATTTACTCAGTGTTCATTGTAAGTTAAAATATTCCTTTGCAACTGGAACAAACCGGTCCATCAATACATGATCTTGTCCACAATCATTGTCTTTTCGTTAACATTAATTGTTGGAACGTGTAACATACAATTCAATAAAAGCAGCTTAAACGCTGACTTCGTTGGTTCTGGGTATGTCACAAAGGATTGGCAATATGAACCATCGAACATGACCTATTGAATCTACCGACACTGGTGATGTTCGGAATTCAAACTCAAACGGTCATTTCATTTTGCATCGTTACAGATTTTGACTGAAGAGGCCTGGGGTCTATCTTTTACTTACTGTTACCTACAGATATATGGTAAATAAAGTCGAAATTGCTGTTACATATGGATAATATATGGTTAACAAAATACAGTCAAACTTGTCTAAGCAACCACCTCTATAAGCCGACCACCTAGCTGTAACGCCCGCTATTTCTCGGTCACAATTTTCCCCTGTGGATGCAAACGTTGCATCAAGTGACTTGCCCAAGCCGACCACTTGTCCAACATCACAGTAACTGTTTTGCAATATTTGGGTCCGCAAATGGCTCAAATGACGACTGCGTCATATTCAAGCGTATGGAAGAAAACGTTTTTTAACTGGCGAGAAACTTTGAGGGAATCTGCGACTTTGTCATTGCTTTAGACAATAGACGAGCTTTGAGCAATGTAAATTGGGTCATTTGTGTCAGTGGGTTGTCTGCTGCTAGCCTCTACCAGGAAAGAGTAGAAATCTGCCAAATAGAAAGATAACATGCCAGGGAAGTTTGTCTGCTAGAGAGAACAGTTTGCCTGGTAAAAGCTAGTCTACTGCTGTTCTCTGTCTAATGTCTTGTTGCCATGTTTTTGTATAAGAAGACCACTTTTTCATTTAGAAGACCACGCTTACATTTCCTCAGTCCTTTTAGTGTTTGTCCTAGACAAGTGTGACTGTACATGCATGTACTAATTACTGTCATATTTTTTCTATGGATATATGCTTGACATACTTACGGTCTGGCCACACCAGTTTCATCAGTTGGTTCTCAGATTCCCTCTTCCATTTTTTTCTGATTTGCAAAAAATCCCAAAACCAACAAGTCAAATTGGTGTGGTCTTCTCTATTGATATATGGTTAATATACTTAGGCCACACCGACTTAATTGTTTGGATGACATCCGCACGCGCATTGATTTTCGTCTGTTCTCAAAAAAAAAGATGATGTCCTTCGAGGCTCTGGCCTGGTACTAGGCTTGGGTACTTCAGTAGTTCATAGTAGTTAGCGACAATACGGAGCCGGTTAGAACTCTGGAGGACGGCACCCAGACTGTCGAAACTCCACGACTCAAAAACTCAGTGCATACGTACAGTGCCGAGTCAAAAATTCCGCAAAAAGCCGGCATGTTCTGGCTTGTCGTATACGTTGCTATTACTGCCGCAAATTCACAATATCAGCTTTGCATTCCTGTAGTTTAGTAGCATTTTTAATTTTGGTCGGATTTTTTTTATTCGCCCACGCGCACTAGTATAGGGGTCTTCAGATGTCAACCATAGAATTAAGTCGGTGTGGCCTTACTTTTATCTAATATGAATATATGGTTAACAAAGTTTTTTTTTTATTCCAACATGTAAACAAGAAGAGATGACGGAAAAATTATGTTTTCAACTTATTTTCATGCTGCCGCCAGAGAACATAGAAGACAATACAGTACTCATTGTCACCTGAGCGAGGTGAGGAAAGTTGTGTAAAGTACCTTTCCTAAGGGCACAAGATCAGTGACATGGCAAGGTTCAAACCCGGGACCTCATGGTTCAGAGCCAAATACACTACCCTCACACCACACGACCCCACTGAAGTTAACAAAGTTACAAGATAGTTCTTATATCCTAGCATGGATGTCAATGATCAATAAAGGCATTCCTTTAAAATGAAGCCACACTTAGTTAATTTTATTGAGATGTGAAAGTGAGAGAGGGCAAAAAAGGTTAAAACCCAGCACAAACTGGCACTAAACCACAGTGTTAACCACAGAACAACAGTATACAAGGGGGAGTTCCCAATTTCAAGAAACAGCCCTGAGTGAAAGGAAGCGTAAGAAATGGGAAAGACGGGAGGATAACATAGAGAACGGAGCACCATGATCGAAATGAAATGTTTTAGCAGAGGAACAGAAAACCGATAAAGGTTGAGTTAACAGGTTGACAGATCATCCATAGTTCCCCAACAGTTAAGCAGTTAGAATATGGAATAGATGAGATGAGACAAATTCACACTGGAGTGCAGAATGCATTAGTACAGGTACTTTCAATGTAATCTACAAATAAATGCACCTAAAATACATTCGTTTATGATTAAAAAGATTTTCTACATTTGAAATGTTGTACTATTTCAATCCATTTGTCCTGTTTTTATGTAGTCCAGTAGATATACCCTAAAACAACGTGAGAGCAAACTCGTGTCTTCGAGTGGGTCTTCTGTACGTAGACAATGCACCTGCTACACCCCAAGTGACTGGTACGCTCACTTCTTCCCTATCCCGGCTGTGAAGAAAGGAAATAAAACAAGAAATCTGAGATTGCAAACATTATGTATAATGTACGACTACTGTCAATTTTAGACAATTATTTAATAACAATAGATAGACGTACCCCAGTACATGTCTCAGTTGATGCAAATTGTGGTCTGTACGTTAAAACAAACAAAATGTATGTATATGCAAAGGACGCTTTTTGATAACCTGTTCGCAACATTTTCGTACTCAATTACTTTTTTCATACTCATTTGCGAAATCAATTATTAAAATTGTATAATTCGTCAACCGCAAGGGTTAACATTTTTTACGAAGGTATTAGATCGTGGAACTCATGTTAAATATGTGGAAACACGTACCTCCATAGACCTGTACCTCACATAGGGTGAGAATTGTGGTGGCAGGGATTGAGATGCCGACATATCGGCCTCTCCGACCGTCACAGTCCACCGTGATCTTCTGTTTCCCTGTTGCGGCGTGGTTCCCACCGCATTGCGGGTTGGACGTCACGGTGGTAGAGTCCCCGACGTGAACCCGGAAGTTGTTCAGTCTCTGCGACTGCTCATTTCGGTTGAAGACGACGACGCTGCCGATGGCTTGTGATGTGCCCAGGTCTACACGCCACCAAGGGGTGCCTTCTTGGTTCGTATGGGTGCAGGACCCTCCACCCCAGTTCCAGTCAGTGTTGCCGTCCACTGCCCGTTCGGCCACTCCCCCATAGCCCGTACTGGACTGTGCCGTGGGTTTCTCGAAGGCCAGATTGAGACCTAGGTCTGCGAAAAAAGTAACGACACAATAAAGACAAGCTGTGACAGATGAACATTCGTGGGTGTTTTATATCGCATTAAACTCCACTGGGGAACTTCTTCATCGGTTAAATGTTAAGTTTAATGGTTTCACTTTTCAAAGGTTTCTGTCAAAATTGCTGACGATCAAGGCAACAAGGCAAACAGTCCTTTTGACACATAGCGTCTCCCTTGAGGCTCCATATGCATGCAGTGACGTATTCTAGATCATTTCTAATCGCTCAGTCCGTTAACAATTGTCTTACGGGCAGCGGGACAACCGGGCAGTGAACGGCAGTCACTATACTGATCTTGGGCTGATTAAAAAGTCCCTTAAAACAATGGTAATTTTTATCTCTCGCCGTTTAACAACATTTGGATTGAGCGTGTGTTCATGTGTATAATTTACGCGGTGATTAGGAGTAGAAATAAGATTCTTCACATACACGACACGACGAACGACTACCTAGCTGCTACCTCGTACGCTCCAAGCACCACCTGATGGTGGGGTATATCACCCAACCTCTGCTTGGTGAGTTCCTCCCACGTCTTATTTATTGTTTCCCCTATATATATTAAAGATACGCCCGACCTTCAGCGCACTGTAGCCACGCCCATTCTCCATTTGATTGGAAATCTGATAAGGCGACTTGAGATGTGTAGGGACTTTCTGTTTACACTAGCAGCCCAGTTCCATATTAATAAAGTGCAACGATGAAACAACTTTGATTTTCAACAAAACTTTATATAGGAGAATCAGTCAAAACAAGAGTTCCACGACATCATACCTTCGCCAAATGGTGTTAACCCTTCGAATTATAACAATTTTAATCATTAATTTCACAAATAAGAGCTTCATTTGCATGGATTACACAAGTTGATCATATTCTCCACCCAATGGCAGCCTTATCTTGACAAAAAAGGCTATTTTAGCACTTCCTTATAAATTATGCAAATGAGGTCATAATGTAAATAAATTATCTTTTGATGTTCACCTTCAATTAACTTCCAAGCAAATGTGGCAAGTATGAAATTCCCAACAACTACAACTATGAAATTAGAACAATTTTCCATTAATTATGCAAATTAGATCCTCATTTACATAATCTATATGCTCAGATGTTTTTCTCGTTCTCAATTACATGTCAAAAGTGTTTCATAGTCCTACTATCGAATGAAGCAGATTTATAGAATTTCCTCATTAATTATGCTAATTAGCTCCTGATTTGCATAATTGTCATCTGATTATGCCAAGCATCACTTCAGCTACCTACATACCAAAAATCATGACAATCCGTCGAACGGTTGTTAAGTTATCGACTTTCGGAGATTTTTTAACAAACGCTCCTGCAGTTCTAGAAAAAGGCGCTAGGGGGCCCAAACTCATGTCACTTCTTCCCTACCCCAAGAGCTACCTACCAACCAAACTTCGTGACCCTAGCATGTCCAGATCGCGAGATATCAAAACCGGAAGTTCTGCTGCAATACCAACAAAAGCCGCCAGGGGGCCAAAAGTCTAATCATTTCTAGGTCTCATCAAGACCTACCCACCTACCAAGTTTCATGACAATGCATATTAAGCTTCTTGAGTTATGCTGTTCACGTACACACAGACAGACAGACAGACAGACAAACGCTACTGAAAACATAACCTTCTTTGCGAAGGTAATAACATTTTGAAATAAGAAAACTAATTAGACTAGACTTTCTCATTTAGTCTTAAGAAGACCAGAACCAGTGGGGCGGGCTACGCAAGAGATTGAGAAGACCTCAATACGTACTTCGCCAATGTAAAATATTACCATCATGTGTTCTAGCTTACCTGTGAAGCCGACAGCAGGTCTGATCATGATGGTTGTTTTCTTCAAGAGGTAACTTGCGCCTCCCCAACTCGACCAGACGACTCCCTGTGAATTACCACAGTTGACCGAACTCTCGTGACAGTTATACCGTCCGTTTAAGAAGGACTCTCCGCAATTAAGCGGATACCACCATCCACCTTTGCTGTATGAAGAAGCACAATTCACGCTGTTTCCGTCATTATCTCGATCTATCGTAGAAAACATTCTCCCGTTTATGTCAGCTCGACCACTGTTGGTAAGACTGTCCCCTGCGTCTCCGCTGTACCCAGAGATGGACACTACATAATTCCCGCTCGCGTCCCCGACTGAAAACGAGCTGTACCGCGCGTACCTCCTCTCTCCGTTAAAATTTTCCAGCTCAATCCGTAGAATGTTACTCTTCGCCGTTGTCAGTGTGTGAATGTTGTCCAGCCCTAACCAAAACTCTGCGTTCGGGTCTCCGAACCCTTGCTGATAGTCTGCCCAGTTCTTAGCGAAGTCCACGGATCCGTCCTGGCGGCGCTGAAGGACGGTCCAGCCGCCTCCCAGGAAGCTCATGTCACAGTAGACCCGGTACGGGCTGGGCTCGCCGACTGTGTAGGTCCCGCTCTGACGGGTCCCGGCGGCGAACAGGTCCGCACAGTCCTGAGGCGGGTTTGTAACTGTAATGAAATAATTCAACATTGCAAAATTAAGTTAAAGCCCTCCTCAACCACTAGTATGGTCGCGTATCGCTCATCACCGTTTCTTGCAATCACAACAGCAGGCAGTCTACTTGTTGTGGTGTGCACGTGTTTAACTCCTATACTCATTCTCAAATGCTGAGTGCTAAGCAGAGAAAGCAGTAAGTGCCATTGTTTGGTGTGATTGAACTCGCAAAGTACCGAATGCACCGCGAGCACTCATTGCATCGGTTACCGGTTCAAAATGGCAGAATGAATCCGCCTCTGAGGTGTCGCCAAAAAAACGGAACACGACCTTTAAACACTAAACGTGACTTTACTCCAATCCTGAGGATTCGTCAGAATTTAGTACATGGTCTCAGGATTGAAGTCATGTCATCTTTACGGGTTACATTTATAATTTTTTAGCTCCCCCTCCCCAAAAAATGGGTAGTTTAACTCAAATAACAACACTCAATGATGTAAAAGAATATTTTGTCTTCAAGTATATTTTTGTATAGTGAATAGTTGATTTAATTCCATCCCCGTCGGCCCAGTCGGAGTGTAAGTAAGTGTCAATGAACTCTCACCGGCCCTGTGATTACGTGCCCCCAATATTTGGCATATTTACTCACATAATGTCAATATACATTATTGGGATAGTGTTGTTTCAAG